TTCATATTCTCGAGCATTATCAGAATGTAAAATACGTATACGATAATCATACTGAGTTTTAATTTCCTTACGAAAGGTCTCAAATATAGAGAATAATTTAGACCAAACTTTCATAAAAAACAACCAAGTCACACGAGAATAGTCATCCACAAAAGACACAAAATAAAGATATTTATTAGATGAAATATTTTTTATTGAACCCCATACATCAGAATGTACCAATTCAAATGGACTAGACACACGATTATTGACTCTAGACTGAAATGACACACGGTGATACTTAGTAAGTTGACAAGCTTCACAAGACAAAGATGACACACAACTAAGACTGAAAACTTGGCGTTTCAGATTCTGGAGAGAGGGATGTCCAAGATGGCATTGCCATTGAAAAGGAGACAACGAGGTCTATAGAGCCCGAGTAGGTGAATCAAAATCAAAGTAATATAGGTCACCGGCTTTATGCCTTGTACCAATCTTCCTCTTCGTCTTGAAATCCTAAAAGACATAATAAGAACGATAAAAGGTTACAGAACAATTGAGAGAACGGGTAATCTTACTAATGAAAAGTAAACTAAAAGAAAACTGAGGAACAAATAACACGGATGATAAGGACATATCAGGACTCAAATGAGTAGTTCCCAGACCTGAAACTTTAGAACAAGTGCTATTAGCAAGAATAATACTACGTGTAGAAGTAACAGACTTATAAGTAGAAAAAACATCAGACGCACCAGTTATGTGGTCAGAAGTGCCAGAGTCTATGATCCAGGGACTGCGGGTAGAGGACAATAAACAAGTGGAAACAGTATCTGACTGGGCAAAAGTACCAGTGGAGAAAGATGGAACAACCTGTTGCTGGGACAGAACTGGGCATACTCTTCTCGACCCAGTATAATAGTAACTGATCCAGTGTCTGGTGGAACTGATCGAGGTATGGAAACAATAACAGAGGTATCATCTTGATAAGAAACTTGATTAGCAGCACTAGAGGATTTACCATATAAATCCCAACAGAAGTTAACAGTGTGTCCTCCACGACCACAGTGAGTACAGGAACGGGATCCACTACGACTTTCACGACCACCACGTCCACCTCGATGACCATTACTATGGCTACTAGGAACCACAAGAGCTAAGCGATCAATGGAGACACCATGATCGATGCCTGAAGGAGTAGACAGTGTAGCACGTTGTAAACGAGAGAAAACCTCAAGCAGTAATGGAAGACTAGAACCACCCAAAATCTGAGAACGAATAGCCTCATATTCGGGTTTCAATCTTACCAAAAACCTAACAACATTCAGGTCCTCATGTTGCTTCTGCCAAACTACTGCATCAGTAGTAAACAAATGGTAGGTCTTCATCTCCTCACAGACTCCCCGAACATGAGAGTAATAATTTGCAAGGCTCAAAGTACCCTGCTCCAACTGGAAGTAATCCTTACACACCTCATACGGACGGGTAAAATTACCTGTACCAGAATACATGGTGGTCAAGTGATCTCATATCTCCTTGGCAGTGTCAAGGTAGAGTAAAGTAGAACTAAAACTAGGCTCAATGTTATTCAATAGTAAGGAAATGATCTGAGCATTCTCTTGTTCCCACTGATCATATCTAGGAGTAACTTCCTCGGGTTTAGAATTCACTAAATATTTCTTAAATCCTTTGCCATGAAGAAAGACTTGAGCAGACTGCAACCATAAAATATAATTGGTCCCATTAAGTTTAACGGAGGTCATGGGACCATTGATAATAGTCAGAGGGATAGAGGTGGGTGGTAAAGCTGGAGTAAGGGACCCGGTATTCTACTTGGGTTCCATAACAGTGTAGCAAATAGCAAACAAGGGGTGCTATAATGCTAGAACACAAAATCGAACAGAATTGGATTGGCTAAGCTTGCTAGAGGGCTGAACTGGATCACTTGAGGCTGCTAGAAGGCTGAACCAGACCCCAAAAGTCTGTTAGGAGGCTGAACTGGACCCTAAAAGCTTGCTGGGAGGCTAAACCGGACCCCAAACACCTGCTGGAAGGCTGAATCAGGCAGACTAGGTGCACTGGACCAATGAACCGGAGTGAAAGATGACTGAACCGATTTGAACCAGTGCAAGACCTAACTGAACCGGGCCACAGGAGGTTCTTGGACCGCTGAACTGGAGTCACCACTGACTGAACCAGTTTGAATCGGTCTAAGGCTAATTGAACCGGACTTCGGATGTTTTTTTTTTTATCCAGACCTTGTCTTTTTCACGATTAGGGTTTCAATGGCCTTAATTTTCGACTGGGTCTCAACCACCACAACGAACGATCGACTATGTCTCAACCACCCAAGCGAACAACTGTGCCTCAGCCACCACAGTGAGGTAATCTTCGACTGTGTCTCAACCACCACAGCGAACGATCGACTACGCCTCAACCAACCCCAGCGAATGACTGCGATGACCAGACAGACCACCATAACTACACCACCACCACTAACAACGACAAACAAAATGCTCGCCACTAGCAACGATCAACAGTACACAACCACAACAACATATGTATCACCACCACCACTACTGTAGCTTCTGCGATCAACAGTACCACCACCACAAATCAAGTTAAATTATCCGAAATATATTTAAGATTAAACCATACTCTGATACCATGTTAAGTGTAAAAGATTAACACAATATATTGAAGAGGAACAGATAGAGGTCAAAAACTTGACCTAGTTCTCATATATCATTGTATTTATAGTTAACTTACAATAATAAGAATTACACATACTACCCTATCACTATTAATAATTTACACATACTACCCTAATACTCTTAATAGATATAAAATATTGCTTAGGGGTTAGGGAAGAACAACAAAGGAAAAACAGTTCATTTGGAACTTATTTCCAAGACTTTGCTAGAGAAGTTGAAATAGATGTGGCACAAGTCATAGAAAAGTCACAAATCATATGTGATACCTTGAAAAAGATTGAAGACCTTATTGACATGCCATCTAATCATTCTTTTAAGAAGGATACACCTTAGACTTCTAGACAATAATCATTTGATCTGTCGATGCCTGATACTTTCTTCAATGAGATAATCAACCAAAAGTTCATAGTTTTATCTCAGGGACATAGTATCCTACTGGAAAAAGACAGGAAAAGAAAACAGTATTGCAAATGGCACAATTTGTTTAGGCATTCAACTAAAAATTATGTCACCTTTAGGAATCGAGTGCAAGACCTAATATAAAAGAAAATGCTTAAGTATACCACAAAAGAAGAAGAAACCATGAAAATTAGCAAGTATCCTTTTCCCAAGGAAGTAAACATTAATGTGGTTTTTGTTAATATGTTGGGAAACAAGGAATCTGCTAGTTCTGTGGTTGGCAAAGAGAGAATTATTCCCAAGATGAGAGTCCCAGTGCAAAGCAGACTTGGGTACAACGAGGAGCTGTCACTAGTTATGTGTTTCAAGTGTGCAAAAGAAATAGCCAAACCTGATGTAATCCCATTGGATGATGTAGTCAAGGAGTTCACTGATAAAGGACTCCATTTCAGCACAGAGGTGAAGGGGATTATTAGATTTACAATGGCTATGTAAAGGTACAAATTATCTCCTAGAGATCAAGATGGATGCAAGGGGAACCAGGTACAAGGACCAAGCAAGAAGAGGAAAAACACAAGGGATGAAACATTTTGTTAGATCATCGATGGCCAAAAAGACTATGTGGAATAAGATCAAGAGGCAAGAATGCCAAGCGTAACAATCCTAGAAGAGAAAAAGGGAGATTTGAGAGCATTTCGAAGAGTGGATCAAGAATAGTGAATCCCCCTGAAGTCCATGATGATAAATGGTACTAACTTTAGCGCCCAAAATTTTCATCTGGGGCATGGTACCAGACCTTTAGCAGAACTTAGAAAAGGAGAGAATAGAGGAAGTTTGCTGCGTGGATGAACTGACGAAATCCTACTATTTTGGAGGCTTACTCAACTCCTAGTTTGTCGATAGGTAGCAAAAACCCTAATTGGACCGGGAAGCAACAAAAAAGAAATCAAAGAGCTCCAGATTAAACATAGTATTTTGGACAAAAGATTGTTGAGTTTAAACAAATATTGGATCTGTCTGAAAGAGAAGTAAATTTACTTGCAGATCTCTTATCAAAAGGGAAAGAGAAAATGGAAGAAGACAAGGGCATTCTCTCTAATGAGGAGCTAATGGACTTCGACAATATAGAGTCCTTTCTCAAAGATGATGCATAATGTAACATGATATTGGCTTTACCCAAGTCATTTAAGGCTAAGCCAGGACAACCAAGTCAATTGGTAGGAGATGTAGAGGATAGTACTAAGCCTGTAGCAATATTTGTAGAAATAGTAAATTAGTCTAGGCTTGATGGAAGTTCTGTAAGCATCGAACAAGGAGACTGGGGGGACAGACAGAGTGATATTACACCCACTCAAGAAGGAATTGTCTAAACATCTAAGGCCATTGTACATTCGAGCCGCATCGATGGTTAACCAATTAACAAGATCTTGGTTGATAATGGGGTAGTGATGAATATTTTGCCTTCAAGAATGCTGGAAGTATTAGACAATGAAGAAAATGATTTGCTTTATACTAACATAATAGTCAGTAATTTTGTAGGGGACTCTTCTTCTGCAAAATAAATTTTGCTAGTGCAACTCTAAGTGGGTAATAGGGACACCTCAACAACATTTTTTGTGGTGAATTCTTCAGCAATAGAAGAAAGAGATATGGTTGTAATAGCTAAAATTGGTAGGGATATCTACCAAGATGCGATTTGGTTTCAAGGTTGTAGTTACCTCAATACCAGTTGGTGAAAGCCCTTTTATGTGCACGATATCAAGAATGCAAGGAGACATCATGCCAGGAGGAAAGAACATGACATTGTAAGACGTTAACCAAGTTTTCAAAGGAGTAAGCCCTTGATCCCAGTGCCTCCATTGTAGATGAGGGCGATGAAGCGTTAAGCTTTCTCTGTGAGTAATAGGGTAGCATTCAGACAATACTGGAAGCATGGTGGATTTGAAGGTTGGATCTAGAGCAAAGTTGGCCCCATGGTCTTCGGATGGGATAAGGATTCGATCATCAATTGAATTCCAAATGGCATATCTGAGGTTTGTAGAGAACCAAAGAGCAGGAGGCATGTTTGGAGGGGAGCTAATAGGAGTAGAGTAACTTACTTTACATTTTGGACGCCATCTACAGATCAAGAAGTTTAAAATTAAGAACAAGCCAAGGAAGATTACCAAAAGAAAAGATAAGAAGAACAATACGGATAAAGAATTCCACAGTGCTTGAACCCTTTAAATAGGCGCGTTGAGGGTTTTCCAGAGGTTATATCTCATTTGAAATAAATAGATTAGCTGTTGAAAGACATCTTAAGAAGGCAATGAGAAAAGACAACGGACGTGATGATTCATTCACTTGGATTAAGGAATAAACCCAATTAAATAAGGGGGCATTGTTTGGACCTAAAATATAAATTGTAAGAACATTTGATGTATGTGTTGTTGGCAAGCCTGAAATCATTAGGTGGTCGCCACATGTCAAGAGTTGAAGAAAAGGCAGAAAGCGATCAACTATTACTTTGATTTGAAAGAAGAAACAACAACCTAGGAGTTACGAAGACAAATAACCGTCGACGAGGGAGAAACTGTCTAGAGGAGTGGCTATAAAAGAGGAAGAGGAAGAAGACGAAAACAACAACTCAAACCCTCCACAAGACCCACGATTAGGGCATTTAGGAGTAGTGTTAGAGTTACTTTTTAGAAAGTAGTTAGCACTGTAATCAAACCCTGTTAAATCAGTCACTCTGTAACTGAAACCCACATGATTAAATTAATAAAGACATATTTCTTTGTTAATTCAGTATTTTGTGTGTTTTGTTATACGATTCAATCTAAGGAGTCCTAAAACAAGGAAATAGAACCTATCCACAAGCAATCACCTGAGAACTGTCTATCAATTAAGGCATTTTTGTCGATCACAACAAATTTTGGAGTAACAACCTCTTATAATTCTTCTTTTACCCTCTAAAAAAACGAATTTAACCTATTCCTATCTCCAACACCAATTATTTGTCCCAAGAAAAACCTTACACTACTAGCCAAACTGCCCCTCTTTGTTATCCCTTCTTTTCTTTTTCATTTTTCTTGCACCAAACAGTCACCACTAGCAACCGTATAGCTTTCACCACCAGCAGCCCACAACCAACCACCTCCACAACCACGTACCGATATGTTTAGCAGCTTTTGTTAATTGGCCATTGCTAGCTAGGCACCCATAGGGCTTATCTTGAAAAGGCACATGTTTAGGCAGCAGGGTGTGCAATGTTTCCTCCAAGATATGATGGGGTGTGAAATGTTCCCTATAGGGCTTTCAGCTGCTTTCTAAGTTAACGAATTCTACCACTTTACCGGTAGATCAGTTATGGGGAGGAGATGTACTGTCTTCTATATAGTGGTATTTCACACACACCCACCAATCTGCCAAGAATGCCGCATTTTCTTCATTTCCAACTGCCCATTTTGTACCTATATGTAGTATATCTCCGGGTTTTAGAATTGCTCTCCTAGTTGGGATTTTTTGCACTCATCATGTTGCTTTACATTTTTATTCTTAATTGCAGCTACCCAAAGTGCCTTGTTGTTTTCCTTTATTTTCCAACCTAATTTGGATAAAAGTGTAGTGTTATTCTCTTTACTCCTTAAGCCAAGTCCACCCTATTCTTAGGTGTACAAACTTTGTTCTAGTTTATTAAGTGAACTTTGTTCTTCTCCCCGCATCACCTCATAGAAAATTAATATTCAGTTTATCTTTATCTATCATATCTGGAGTGTGGAAGCTAATTTATTTGCATAGCATAGTTTGAAGGGGTGACAATGATTGCTTCTATTAATGTGGCTCTACCAGCCGTAGATATTATCTTGTTTTTCCAACCACTCACTCTCTTTCTTCTATTTTATATAATGCATATAAAATGTACCTTGATAGACGCTTTCTTTAGCAAGAGAATGCCCAAGTAGTTTCCCAGTTACTCTCTGCGAGTGAAGCCACACCTTGTGCCTAGAATCCATGCACACGCTTTACTAATACAGGGGCATATGAACACTTCGGGTTTTGATGGGCTGACTTTCGCCCTGATGCATCATGGAAACTACCTAATACCTCCCCCATCTTATCACAATCTTTTCATGATGCTCTAGAGAAAAAAGGATAAGATCATCAACAAAAAATAGGTGTGTGGTCTCTGAGTCATTTTTTGAAGCATTTAAAACCTCTTCGTTTAGCAAATAGCTCTTCAAAACTAGTTGGTACTTTTGTTTTTGCTGTTAGCATAGCACAAAAGAGGGTAAGCATTGACACAATGGTAATTAAGATTGCTTCATTGTAACCTAGTGCTAGATGTGAGGTTAAAACTGTACACACCTGACTCTCTCTCGACCCTACACACAGGTGAGAGCTACATACATCTAGCCCCCTCTCCTCAAGCCAGGTAATTATGATCCTGTATTGGGCCTGGTATATGCACAGGGGAAATTATGCTGAGAATCTTGGAATGAGAAATTTGTGATAATCAAATAACTCAAATCTCAATATTTGGAGTACATATTTGGTGAAAATTATTGTAACAATAGGATGTAGCAATTCAACCACATGCCCTGAATCATAGTTTCCAAATGCAAAAGAAATTCGATTTTATACTTGAACTAATGAATTTTTTTCAATTATTTATAGACAACTATTCGTTGGGCGCGCTTGAATATTAAAGTCAATAAGCATCCTCAAGTCAAAAATGCAATTAGGGATCCTGGTATAATAGTAACAATTTGGCCCAACGATCACAAAGTTATTGGTTTAAATATTAGGACAGTCATTTTGTGCAACTAATGTCAATTTTAGGTCTACACCTAGTTCATTCCACCCAACAGTAATCTAAATTAATGGGAACTAAACTGGCTAAGTACCTATACATACATGTGTATGTATGTATGTGTATATATGTTAATCAGTACTATATGTACAGATATAAATTCCCATTCATCCAGAAAAGAACATTTATTTTTGCCTAAGTTTAAATTCTTGTGTCCACTGATGATTTCACCCTTTGGATTGTGTGAAAAAATTAGTGCCTTTTCAAGTAATTTTCTTAAAAAAAGACAAATTCGTCATGAGTGTACATTTGATAAATATATAAACAAAAGAATCTATATAGATTTAGTTTATATATATACTATTATACATGCAATTAAGCTTGAAACAAGGCCATAAGGTCAATTAGGAAAAAACCATGCTTTCCCATGTATTCTAGCCATGTTTTGGCATAACATTGTTATATATGTACAAGGCTAACCCTATGTATGTGGTTGATAATTTACAGCTATAGCTCTTTCTCTCCCACTGCTCAATCCTTATCTCGAAAGTAATGGTACATTTAGTCATGGCGTCAACTTTGCAGTAGCTGGAAGTACAGCATTGGACTATTCTTTCCTCTCCACAAGGGGCATTTATAATCCTGTGACTAATAATTCCCTAGGTGATCAACTTAACTGGTTCAAATCCCACCTCAGCACCAATTGCCACTCACTAGCAGGTTTGCAAATATTTGTCCAAACATCGTAAGCAACTACCCAAAAAGGATTGTAACTTCTGATATGGTAGTCCATACTTTTTGATACCTCTAACAATCCTATAACTCAAATTGTTTTGTTTTTGCATATGTTTATTCAGCACGTTCGAAAATGTTTACTAGGGCTCTTGTCTTCTTGGGTGAGATCGGAGGCAATGACATTAACTATTCTCTTCAGGAAGGAAAATCCATTCAAGAGGTTTACTCTTACTTGCCATATATGACAGAGGTCATCAGTAATGCTGTTAGAGTAAGTTCTTATATTTGATTTTTTTTTTTTATCAAATTTATGGAAGGAAGTTATAATATAAAATAATTCCCATACATGTTATTATCATGTTGTGCAGGAAGTTATACACCTTGGTGCTGTGAATATAGTAGTTCCTGGAAATTTTCCAATGGGTTGCTTTCCGATCTTTCTGACAAAATTCTCTTGTGGTGATCCGACAACTTATGATGATATGGGATGTTTAAGAGATTTAAATGAGTTAGTATTGGCTCAGAACAACTTTCTTCAGGAGGCTTTGGCCTTGCTTAGGCTTGAATTTCCTCATGTTGTCATAATTTATGCCGACTACTATACATCTTTCCAAACAATTCTTCGTCGTGCACCTGATTTCGGTAAAGTTGTGCAAAAAAAGAAAAAATTGAATTCATGCAACTTGATATATAATCTTAAATGATGAACTACATTTATATTGACTTGTAATGGATTTTTATTAGGGTTCAACGAACAATCCCTCTTACAAGCATGTTGTGGAATTGGAGGGATACATAACTATGATGAGGAAAGGGCTTGTGGGCATCCTGATGTGCCTGTTTGCCATAACCCGGTTCAATACATAAGTTGGGATGGAATCCATTTGACACAAGATGCCTACCGTCATATCACAGCAATTCTCATACACGATATCCTTCCCGGAACCATGGGCAGCCCAATGACAATGGAGGCCTAAGGTGACACTTTTAAATGAGGCCCTAATGATATTTCATACAAAATTTATGATGTGGTTTTTTTTTTTTTTGGATTGAGTTAAGTGTTTTAGGTAAATGTAATTTCCATGTAAGATCCTCTGTTAAAATTATTAGAATGGTTGATGAATAAATATGAGAAGTAATTGTTCATATTGTTCCATCAATAAACTAAAAAGGTATGTAATACAATATTTATCAACAAATAATTATTTTTTTCGTAAAGTAGCACAAAGCACACAACATTTTTGGTCTAAAAAATATTTATTTGAGAAAGAACAAGAAACTGTCTGTCTAACTTCAAAACTAAAACTGACATTGAGAGAGAGAGAGAGAGAGAGAGAACTTTGGGGCAATAGGGATGGCTAATCTTCTAAACAAAGAAATAAAAGAACAATCATACGCAAAGATCACCTAATAGTCTTCTAGACATAATACTAGGAATGCATCATGTGCGTTGCACATTAATAGTTTTTGTATACAAAAATTAATAAAAACATATTAGGTATATGTGCATCTGAATTAAATATCACCTCAAATTTACAAAACTTAATTTTTTATTATTCATATTTTATTATAAGATTATAAAACTTTCTATGTTCGCAAAATTCTTTGTTTTAATTAAAAAAAAAAGATTTAAAAACAAAGTTAAAATTTTTTTTTTTTTTTTTTTAGAATTTTGTAATTGAGATTGATTTTTTAGTGATGTTTCAGAAATATTTTTTTTGAAATTCATTTTATTAAGATTCCACTTATAATTTCTTGAATGAAATAAAAGCAATTGTTAATATACTAATTATATTGGAACCTTACTATAATTAGGAATTGGTTAGGAGAATTGAGATAAAAATTAATATATTACTCTAAAAAATCTAAAAATTTCAAGTTTTACAATGTTAAAATTCTAAAAAATACAATTTTTACTTAAAAAGTACACTATAATATCTATTTTCACATAAAATCTTAATACAACTTAGAAAGTTTATTGCGGATGAATAATTATATTAATGGAACATAAATTGATTTTAAAAAACTAAATATATGATAATTTTTAATCTTGGAAATGAAATGTTTAAACTTTTTTGATGAAGAAGAAAATACACATACGTAAGAATAATATTATCTTTGCATATAAGATGAGTAATATTAGATTGATGAAATTTTTAAAGATTTTTTGAATACTTTATTGAAAATACAATGATACATATTTTTTGAAGGGTAATATAGTCAATCAATTTTTTTTTATAGAAACTAATATTTATACATAGAGAATAGATAATTAAAAAAAATGTTAGAGATAATTTGAAGATTTAAATATATAAGGATATGATGACAATTTAGATATTTAATTGTTAAAGGATAGAGTGATCTTTACAATTCTTTATAAGGTTAAAATAGAGATTCAGAAGTTTTTCATGTTAAAGTACTTTTATTAATAATAATATAGATTAGCAAGAGAAGATAAGATATCTGGCACAACATCTCGGCACCAAGCATCACAGTGACATCACAACAACACACATGTTGCATAAGGAAAATAGTCTTAGTGACTACAAAAAGAGGAATTAATCAGAGTTCCACATAGCAAAAATTAGACATAGCTTTTGGGAGCAATTTTCAAGGATCTTCATCTCTTCCATGAAGCTTGAACATCCTTCTGGAAGGATCAACAATAGTGTACAAGGAAATTAGTGAACACAATGATGATTGTATTTGAATGACTGGTCAAGCAAATTAGGTTCACCTTGGCTCCTGCAAAAGGAGCAACTTGTCATAGACTAGGGTTTGACTGGTTGGAAGCACTCCCACACTTAAGGCATGGCATGAAGGGCTGTAAATTTAAGCAAGAAATTAGTAGGGAAAAAATAGTATGTACCTCTGATTTATAAGAGTGTACATCGATTTTTTGGAATATAGAATCCTGGCTAGAATAAAATAGCACACCTATTTTTTATGCAAATTGTTTCAAATTCATGATTGAAGTCTTCTAGGTTTCCTTTCTCATAAATTGATCTTTTAGGTCACATGTTTATAATGTGCAACTTTAAAATAAACAGTTTTCTTATTGCTTGCCCATGGCTGCCTTTGGTCATTAGTGATAGCCTAGCTATCCTTTACTAGTCACCACAACAAAAAATCATATTTTGCAACAAATTATAAATGTCGCAAAAAATATGCTATCCATGACGATTTTATAATTTGTCGCAAATTTCTATTTTTGTAATTTTTTTACAACCTTTTTTTTCTAAATGCATCACGAAATGGTGATTCTTTCCCAAATTTTTATGGTGTGGGAAGTTGTGTGAATTGACAATTTTTTATGACAAATATTTTTTGTTGTAGATATTATTAAATCGTCGTGAAAAATATATAATCTAAAATTAAAATTAAAATAAAGTCAAAATATTATTTCGCGACTTTTTTTTTTGCGTCGAAAAAGAAATTATTAAAATTTTTTATTTCAACGTTGAATTTTTGGTCGCAAAATATAAATTTTAGTTTTTTAAACCAAAAATTAAAGTCAAAATAAAATAAAAATATTCATTAGCGACATTTTTTAAGTTTGTTGGAAATATCTATTTTAATATTATTTTTTTATGACTTTTTTTAAGTTCTTCGCAAAATATAAATTTTATTTATGTATTAAATAAATTATTAAGTCGCGACATTTCTATATTTTTCGGAGAATACAAATTTTGTTTTTGTAAATCAAAATTAAAATATTAATCGTGACATTTTAGTTTTTGTTGCGGAATATATTTTTTTCAAAAAACAAAACAACCAAAACGATGTGTCCTTATTCTTCACGAAAAATATTTCAACCACGACCACACACAGCCACAGGCTCCACCACGCTCAGCCCACCAATTTCTGCCTTTCTTTGGTCTGTGCCTCTCATGAACATTAGAGTTCCAGCGACCTCCTCACGTCCCAGTCATCTCTCTTTCTCTCTTTCTGTGCTACGTTGAAGTCGAAGTCGAAGTTTGAACAACGAACAGTCGAAGTCGAGGCCGGAGGGGTTCACTCAGAGTCCAGAGCTCCATCGAGGCATCGCCGATTTCTTGCGCATTTCCTTCCCTCAAGTGAGACGCAGCACAAAACAGGTACCCCTCTCACTATCGCTCTTTCTCTCAGTTTGGTAGAGACACTTGCTAGAAAAAAATCACCTTAATTAGAGGGAATCTCATTTAGGTTTTAAGAATTGTTTTCTGGAATTGGGGGGGCGGGGTTGTATTTGATTGTTGAGGTTTCTCTTTGAATTTTCATCCATTTAGATGAAATCTACAAATTGATGTATGTAAATTTTTTGTGTTGAATTGTGGGTTTCCGTGATTTTGTAAGCACACTGATAGTTACTGCAATTAACAACACCTAAATAAAAAATTTAACGAAGAACAGGAAAAAACTGGGTTTGATTTCTACTTTCTAGACTTATTTGGAGAATGTCAATAAATGTGAAATATTATATATCTTATACTTTTACTTTTTAAATAATTCAGTTGATAACGAAAGTTTCATGCCATTAGTGTTTCCAAAATGTCAACTTTGTATACAAGATGAAGATTAGGAATATAGACACTATAAGTTATTAATATTTAATGTAGAGGTTATTCCACTTTAATTACCCCTACTGTGTTTGAATTCACTACATAACAAAACAAAAAAAAAAAATCGCCAATTACCAAGCATAATAGAAACATTCAAAGCCAAGATTGTATCAACAGTTTTCGTTTGAAATTGGGTCTCTATTTAGGAAGTGGAAATTTCAAAGCATTCACCTATATCGAAAAAATTCCAGCAAAAAAGATGGGATAGGAGCAAGTCCTTAAATGATGCAAGACTTTTGGTTTTTAAGGAAAATTGATGCCAACCATGCGGCTTTGATATTTCATTCCAAAGATTTGTGTGGATTTTAGGGGTAGATTATTGAGTGTAATGGATATTTAATTAAATTATACATGACATGAATGTGATATAATACAAATTCAAGTATAACACGTATTAGAAATCTTTTTGAAGAGGAGATTGAAACGTGGTTCTAACGAGGTCAATTCGTAATATGACTCTCCAACTCGAATAAGATTATTGAACATAAGTGTAGCTTTGACATGATAGTTTTGAATGGTAATCGAGTTGGTTGGCCAAATCTAACACTAACTAAATAAATTTTAACATAATACGAAGTGGAGTATCAAATGCACACCACACCACATGGACACCTTTTAGTATCCAACTGCCATAAAAAGCGGAGCTTGAAATTTTAGAAAAATACTTGTATCCACATGCATTGCAATATTAAGGTTCTTGTTATCAACTTAGATTATCCTCATGTACACCTTGATTAGTAAGAAAGCTTGATGACGTATCATATATGTCTAATTTTTTAATGCTTTGTTTTGTTTCTGGGAATGGGCGAGTTATGAGTTTCGGTGATTTATTGAAACCTTAATATAAATTAAGGTTTCAATGTAGGTTGTTTATATTTTAAAAATTTGTTTTATTCTATGCATGCTTGCATGTGATTTTGTAGGACATCAGTTATGGACAACAGTTGGATGACAATTAGATATAGGTTGGATGCAAAATACATTGATGGGGTCAAATATTTTGTCAATTTTTCCATGGAATGTTCGAGTCGAGATGGAAAAATTCATTGTCCATGTAGGAATTGCATGAATGCAGAATGACATGATGATGAGACTGTGAAAAATCATTTGTACGTGAAAGGGATTATGACCTCTTACACAATGTGGGTACACCATGGGGAACCCATTCCTATGAATGTCACCCAATTTTCTTAAGAAGATGATGATGATGTTGATAGTGTCGAGGATGATATAATCGATAGTGCAGATGATGATCGAGATGAAATATCCAAAATGTTGGAAGATGTTGGTAGGGGAATGTTCATGGATAATGATTTAAGGGGTGTTCGTGCTGGATACACATGTGAGGATGTTGATAGTGAGGAAGTTCAAAATTTTGAAAAATTACTGAAGGATGCTCAACGTGTTTTGTATCCTGGTTGCAAAAAATATACATTGTTGTCGTTCTTAGTTAAGTTGCTTCATTTGAAGGTACTGAGCAAGTAGAGCAATAAGTCATTAACATTGATGTTAGAGCTATTGGAAGACTTTTT